TAGTTTTTGGTTTCCAAAAGGGTTAGGGATTTTTTCAAGGTAATGTCTGCTTTGCAACCCATTTAATGTCTTTTAGTTCAACTCACAGCTAAACTTGGATGTAAATAAAAGCAGGTAAGACAGTCTGCTTTCCAGTTGGTTCTAATCTGCCTATACAGCTGGGACAATAGTAAAGAGCTAGAAGAAAAAAAAAAAAAAAACAAGTCAAAGGTGCAGACATTACAAAAGGTATAAACAAATGCACAGCTTTGAAGTCAGTGGACCTTGGACAGTTTACACCAGCTGTGATTTAACAAATCTGGTAGGCCATGAAGTCTTTCACAGTTAACTTCAGCATTCTTAAATGCATTGTATGGTTTATGGACTGGCTTTAACAATCTGCAAGAATGTATTATGCTATAAACTTAACAGAGAAGCAAGAACAGGTTATATTACATAAAAAGGGGTGAATTAACACTTTCTAGGGAACGCATCTACTGACTTTTTGACTTGTGATTCTAACTGTGCAAGTATTGCATTAATTTAGTCTTTTTCTGGTAATAGTTTTTTTAATGTAGAGGTCAGTTAGGTAGGGAGTGCCAGGGTACCACAAGGGCTGGTGGCTCCGTGGTGACCAGGATGCTGAGGGCTGTGGGGGGGTCCCATGGGATGGAGGGGCAGCAGGGAAGGACCTGGCCAGGCGGGACCCATCCCACCATCCCCAGGGAAAGAAGCAGCCCCCAGCCCAGGGCATCAGGCACCTCCGTGGGGCTGGGGCAGGATGTCAGCCTGTGGGTAGGGGTCAGGATCAGGCCCCATGAGGGGAAGCAGGGTCAGACAGCCCCAGGACAGCAGGGCCATGGGGATGGGGCTGGGCCAAGGCCAGCCTGGGATGTCAGCCCATGGGTTGGGTCCAGGCCAGTGGGCCCATGGCCAGGCAGGGCTGTGGCAGAGCTGGAGACTGGTGTCCTGCAACATCACTTGGGCAGGGAGTGACGGCCCTAGGCTGAAATGAAATGGGGCCCTGGGCAGGGGTGGGGGCAGCCCCCAGGGAGGAACTGATCAGGGCCATTATAGCCTGTTAGTGCCCTCAGGGCGGTGACAGGGTGAAGGGGAGAAAAGTTTCTGAGTAGAAGGTATGTATTTCTATCCAGCTGTTTCAGCTTCTGATTCTGCGTATGAAATGCACCCATGAAAAGCACATGCACAGAGCTCTGCTAGTTGCCACAGTAACGAATTAATCCTACCATGACATGAAAAGAGTCATGGTGGAGGTCCCAGGTGCCAGTGGGTGAGGAATTCTGTTCGGCAGCATCTTCTGTCCAAACCATCAGGGGTTCGTTCTTCCTCATGCAGGGTGTCGTACGGAGAAATGTGGACGGTTTCCTGTGGCACAGAGATCCGTAGGTGCCAGCTGTGCACCAGGTCAATCTATCCGGAGTAAAATATGGTCCCAGTGAGTGTAGCAGTGACTGGGTCATTTCATATACACAAAGACACTATTTGTGTTGTAATTTCAAACATTGTGCATTCATCTTTATTCTCCCAGTATTTTAAAGCTATTTATGATGCTGATATGAAGGAAAAAAAATGATTTTGACAGGAAATGGACTTTTGTACAAGATTCCCCCTCCTCTTCCAATTTCTTTTCGTGCAGCAGCTGCTGTTGCCAGGCTGCCTTTGTTGCTATGGTGGTGTTTTGTGTGCCAGAATTTTATATTCACTCTTGAAGAGTCACCTGATTGAGTGGCTGTGCCACATAAGTTATCAGTCTTGCTCGTAAAGATAAAGGATATGTCTGACTGCCGTCATTATGTACCTATGACATCTCGTAAATGGATCAAATTAAATATAAACATATTCCAATGGCTACTGGCTGCGAGTTTATGGAAGTATTAATTTAACAGGTGAATTCTTCTAGTAAATGAGTGACTAAAAAAAATAATTGTGGTCTCTCTTGGGACTACTGCATTTGGTAGGTTTCATTTCTTAACATGACAGTCACAAGGCAGTTTCACCACACCCTGTGGCACTCATCTCTCATTGGTAAGGTTTGAGTTCTACCGTCTGCATTATTTGAAAGGTGCTTTCCTCTGAACGACTGAGCTTTTGTCAGAAAGATAGGGTCAAATTTTCTATATTTCTTTTCTGAAGAGCTGTTCCGTAGAACTTAATAATCCTGCTCCCAGTAATGATTAAATTATAATTCGTCCCAATTTAAAATGCAATTAGGATGATATACTTCTGGTGAAGCTGAGTTTATCTTTAATCCCAAATCCTGCAAACACTGCCACTTCTGTTTAACTCTCAGTATGTTAGGTGCACCATTTGCATTTTCAAGGGTGAGGCCACTGCTTCTTTTCAAAATGTAGACTTATACCAATAAACTCAGGATAGCAAGTGACATTGAGATATTTCATATATATTTCTCTGAAATAAAATTTAAAAGAGTAAACTTTATTTTTAATGCATTTCTCCTATCACCTCATGATACAGTCTTTCAGGATAGCTTTTGTTGTATCTTCATTTGACCTGACTTTGATTAATGCCGTCTGTTATTTAAATCAGTTATTGCTCCTTTCTCCTATTTGTCTACATATGTTTCCACATGTGTATCTAAAACATACTGTGTATTCAGTTTATTCCCCTGGAAATGAAATATTGGTATCCAAGCACGTTATATAAAAAATAATGTTTTATGGGTATACTGCATTCAAATAACTTGTATTATTTACACAAGGCAATCATTTTACTGTCCAGGCTGAGATTTTTGAACCTGCAAAAATGAAAACATCCAGAAATCAGTTCCTGCAGCAATATGAGACCAGCATGTATCTCATCTGATATGTACGATTTTGCGTAACTACCTGAAAAAGCCCTCTGCCGAGTTTCTTTCTAACAGTACATCTTTCCTTTAATTTCTTGGAACTAAAAGGGGCTGAGTCAAGAAGAAATAGAAGATATGCATAATACTTTAGATATTCAGTGAGGCTTACTGCACATTTGGAGAAAGGTGTCCGGCTCCTCTTTGGCCAGACTCGGTCCAATCGTCTAATGATCAGATACTCGTACTCTTTCTGGGTGTAGCGATCCTGCTGAGCGCAGCTGGTTTCCAGGTCACTGACCCCATGCTTTGTGGAAAAGAAAGCTTGAATTTAGATGTGCATTGAATTTAAGTGTTTGCAATATGTACTACGTACCAAGAAATGTATTCTTAGCTGGAGCAGATGCTAATTAAGCAATAGCGATAACACATAAGCTAGCTATCTGGGTTGAAACTAAAATTCCCACTGATTTCACTGAGCCCAGGATTTCAGCAAAGGCTGAATCATAAGCACTTTCCAGAACTGTTGTTTAAAAGGCACAGTCATTGTCCCATTTCCTTTTGTGCTTCTTCCTCCTTTTGATGCAATATCCATTAGATATCGGCCATATAAAAGGCATGCTTCTCTTCAGCCAAATACCATCACATTAAAATACTTAAGTCTGAAAAGCCACAAAATTGCTCCAAACAATACTTCATATCTGAAATTCCGGATACCGGTATCAAAGCCTATACTGATCTACAGGATCACCTCTTCCACGTTCAGACTAACACATTGCCAGGAGTCTACGGTATCATCGGGAATCATGAGATATCATCGTGAATGGTGATTGTTTTTCCCTGACAGAGACTGTAAAGAAGGCTGGGCCAAGGGAAAATGTATGACGGACTTGTTGAGGAAACTGCCACAGAGGTGCCACCACCCGTCGTAGTTTTACATCCTCCAACTAGTTGATCTCAGCAGACTGCTGTGAATACACGTGCTTAAGGGATCATGGCTAAGTACTGTAGCGTCAGTGCTCTTTGCTCTTATTTTCTGGGGCATTTTAATATTATTATTTTTATTCTTTTGTATACTATATACCGGGATGAAAGGGCAGTTGTGAAAATGGTACTGAAAATCTCCCTCCCTTACCCCGTCACAGAGCAATCCTGTACTTACGTCAGTGCAGTCAAACCCAGACTTTGTTATTGTTTCTTTAAGTGATGGCAAATGAATGGAAATTAAAGCACAGCAGTGAGAGAGCGGACTTTCATCCTGACGGATGTGACGCCCGCATTTGCATGGAAGGTTGATAGGAATAAAAAAATAGATCAAATGGATTAGTTGGCCTTGGAATGTGTACGCTGCCTGCACGGACTATTGTAACGGAGCAGGTTCAGCGCCCACTAAAGGCAATGAAAAGTTTCTTATTGAAGGGGAAGGAGTTGGAAGAGGCGCAGAGGAAGAGCTTTAACAACTCTGTAACTAACAGTAAGAGCAAATCAGGAGTCCAATATGCCAGTTTTGTAGCTGTTTAATTAAAAAAAAGAACATCTCCCCACTCGGATTGTATATATTTTTACCTAATAATTTTTTGAAATATCACTCCTCTGAAACTAAATCAATTTTTCTTCAAAGACGTTCTTTCTACATCATTTGCTTTATCTATAGTAGAAGTTTGACCTGCTGCCCCTAAATCATAAGGGTCAACGGGAAACCTCTACAGAGAAATTAGAAATCTCCTGTGCTATGTCATCTGATGCTTTATCTCTGCTGTGACTGCACAGGGGCTCTAACAGAGAGAAGGTCATTTGTGGAGCACATATAACTTTGTTCTTCAAAAACATTTCCTTAAAGCCCCTGGATTTAGGATTTTGCTGGGCAAGAGGACATTTTGCTGTCTTTATGCCTTATGAGTTTAAGCATACCTAAAACTGACTTAAGGGCATGTGCCTTCGTTCTGAGGAAGCCTCTTCATCTTATGAGAGCAAAAAGCTTTGGTAAAGCAATTTCTCTGTATTTAAAGCATCAAGCTTTGATGGGAATTGTATGTGCCATTCTCTTTAAGAGTCTTTCCTCTCTTGGCATCGCACTCATCACTTTGCAGGCTAAGCATTGCCCTTCTACTCTGCTTTTGCCATAACCATTTCCTAAAATTGCACTCAGCATCCCCCTGACGTCGGTACCACTAGGACAAGCGACGCAGACACTCACCTTTGCTCCCTTCTCAGCCGGAACGCTGCATTAGCAGAGACCCACGCGTGCATTTTCAAGCGTCTTCCTGTTGTCCTTCTCGCTTCGGGGGGAGGGCCGAGAGGCCTGACCGGGACCGCACTTCGAGGACGGCAGCTGGTGGACCGGGACCAGTCCCGGGGGGGAGGCCCACGGGCGAGCTCCCCCCGCCGAGC